TTTAGAATTTTCTTGTTCTACAACCTTTAAGGACTCTTCCAACACAACCTATTCTAGAATTCTAGAATTCTAAAATTCTAGCTCTCATCACTTCCACAGCAACTCCTTGATACCGAGCAGGAGCAGTACTCACAGTAACAGAAAAACACTAAATGGGATCCTGCAACAGCATTGACAGATTGTTGTAGAAAACTCAAAACTCCTGGAAAGAGATATCTAGGAGTCTGTGATAAGTTGACCACAGACGTGATCAGTTCTGAATCCTCCTGTGTGTGCTCTTATTTCTCCTAAGGCAGTTTTAGCCTTGTCTTATGCTTTCAGCAGCTGATTTCTTGAAGCATAAAGTTTTACTTACTCACATGTAAAAAATTCTTAAGACGTCAAGTCTTTAAAGTAGTCTAGCTCTACCACACTACTATAGTTGATGCATTCACACTGTGTTTTTTCCTGTCCACGCTTATTGCCAACACGGAGGTGTACTCTTTGTTATCAAGGTCTGCATAGAAAATTGCTAACATGAAAGAGAATTAGCACTGGCCTATAACCACATGGAATTATTTCAGAAGGAACGTATTCCTTACATCCAATAGCTTTTATTTATAAATCTACCCTGGTATTGGGTGCATTGACATGCCCACTGGAGGAAATTCTAGCAGGGGAACCTTAACAAAGCTGCTTAGACAGAGCAAAGTGATTTTCAGACTCAGCCAGTGTAACTCGAAGGACACCAAGCAGCAGCCTTACCTGTGTATCTTACAGTGAGAGTGCAGGTAGGCCAGCCCCTGCAAGGCACCGTGGGTGATGGCAGCAATCTCCACTTCCTGAAGTGGTTTCTTGTGAACTATGGAAAAATTGCAGGAGAAAACGTAAGAATGTACAGTGTGATCTTTTCCTGAGAATGTTTCTAAAGAGAACTCCTCCCATTTTGCAAGCTATGAGGTTGGCACCACCTTCATCACACTTATCTTCTATAGCAGCTTTGAGTCTGCACACATCCTTTGTGTGTATTTCATTTGTGAAACCACAGTCCTGCTAAGGGGAATGGTTGCTGCCAGCACCAGGTGATGTGTCTGACTACAGCTTGCCATTGTATTTGAAACACAGCTTCAGACCTTAGCAAAAAAAACTTCCCCTTCCAACCCCATCCTTCTTAGCAAAAACACAGAATGACAAATACTACAGAGATGCTACAAAGCATCTTCCACAGATCCCTAAATTAGACCAGCGTATGCCCTTGACTGACTGTATCTTAGATACAAAATAGAAGGCTTGCAAAGAGTAAGTTTTAACAAGCTGCAGCTTAGACTCCCATCCCTCTGCAGGTGCTGTGGCCTCAGCTTTGACGTCATACCCATCTTTTGATTTTGATAGTCACCTGTAGTCATTCCTACAGACCGAAAGGCGGGGCTTTTATTATGGGCATTCAGGTAACAGTCATTGAGAAAGTGCAAATTACAGCAATCCAGCTGTAAACTTTTATATCTTCATTTTACAACTCGTGAACGTGCATGCCAATTATACGTGGCACTGGCCTTCTGGCAGAATCTCAGCTCACCCATAGTATGACAAACACAAGCATTCTGGTTATAGAATGGAGCAGTACAGACCTCCACCATCTGTAAAACACCGTTCTGTGCAAACAGCCTCCCACTGTGCTCAGAGGGGGCATCAGAAGAAACAAACCTGAAGACTTCATACAACTCACCTTCTAGCAAATCAGAAGCTGATCCTAAACAGTACTCCATAACCAACTGCAAGAAAAAAAAAAAGCACACATTTAAGTAATAGGCTGGACACTCCTCCACAAAATGCTGCTATTTGGATGGCTGCAGAATTGCAGAAGCAAGTGAAAAGTGAAGTTTTAGGAAATTGCAGTAAGCACTGAACAAAACAAAATGCTCCAAGCAAAATCCAGCAATGACAGACATCCTACATTGTTGCAAAGAAGGTTTAGACATTGGGAGGTTCATAAGGAGACACCGTACAGGATGTTCCATACTAATTTTTTAACCTGCAGAGATCTGCTACAGAGAAACAGGGATCTTTTCTAGCATCCTGAATACCCATTACTTTCAAAATATCTGGAAGCTTCTTGAGATGAAAGAGACAACGGGCAGCAATGGATGAATACTGCTGCATGCAAAGACACTGCATGTATTGGGTGCTTGGTTGCCACGCATTCTTCTGCACACCAAGCCCCTAAATGCCACGCCACTCACCCATGCTGTATGCTCCTTCAGGTAACAGCCCTTATATTCTATGGTGTTTGGGTGCTTCAGTTGTTGCAGAAACTTGACTTCTTTGATGATATCCTGCCATTTCTAATAAAAACAAAACAAAAAGATATGGGTACATTTCCCCACTTAATCCCCTACATGCTCTCATGTACTACGCACAGCAGAACAGGTTGAAAAGCAGCCAGGAGGCAATTTTATGGTGCAAGATGACCAGAGTTGTAGTTGCAAAAGCATAACTGTATTGAAGCTTTGCATCCCTGCTGCAGTTTGACTGCCCTAGGACAGGTTAAGCTGGAGAACAAAAAAAGGTTTTTTTCCCCTCATTTATTTGCAGTACATTTTACTCAAAGCATTGCAACTGTTCAGCAGCATGAGCTGCTCACATGCCCCAAAGCAAGCAGCTGCAGCACGTGCTGCAGGCAGGAGCAGTTGGCTGTTTGCTAATAACAGCAAATAAGAGTAGGGATTAACAAGCAATAATTGAAGGAAGGCTGATATTCCAAATACTATGCCTATGAAATTTTATATTATAAATTCAGAGCAGTGTTTCAGGTCAGCTCTACACTTCACTTGATACCTCAGTGAGTTGAGGTTATGGCTCCTGCAGCCCAGGTGTTATTAATGCACTTATTACAGAAATAACCACCCTACAAGCATTCTAATTCCTGTTTGCTTTCTTAAACTGAACTATTTGTCAAGATTTGCATACATTCATTTTCCCTCTACAAACTTCTGTGCTTCCTATGGAAGTGAACAACAGCTACAGCATCACAAGGCTGCTCTGCTGAATTCACTGACCAGCTTTACAGCACAGCTGTATCAGAACTGGCTGCACCACCTCACCTCATTGGTTTGCTTGCCGCTGTAGGACATCTTCTTGACTGCCACCACCTCATTAGTGTGGGAATTTGTAGCCTGCAGGAGGAAAAAGAAATTAAGTGGGGAAAAAAAAAATATATCATTTTTTTTCCTCCTTGTGGAGCGAGCTGCGCCTTTATTAAACACAGACCTTCTTCCCCTGTATCACATCCTGGCAAGCTCCTCCATTTCAGAGACACCTGCATCACGACAAGATTTATGAGACAGCTGTTTTATCGCTCTTTTCTGGCGTTATTTATCTTTCTGTAATCACTGTCCCTCCCTCAGCCCTTACTACACTTGCTACCTCTTTAGTAACACACAAAACAAGGTCCAGTATCACACATACTGTGAGCATGCAAAACACAGTCTGATTGAAACTGCTGTAAAAACAGCTTTAGGTTAAAAGATTTCCTAAAGAAACAAATGAAAAGGCACAACAAAACGTCACCCAAAGCCAACCATGCAAACAGCGATGTTGTCAAACAGGTATTTCAGCTTCCAGTTTGCTTCAAACTGGAATTTAGCTCAATTAAAAGAAAGCAACCCTCCTTTCACTGCAAACTGTTTCCACTTCTCTGGATTTGGTGTGCAGGATAAAATGGGGCAAAACCCCAACAACTTGGTAAATGCATACTGCTGAAAGAAGAACCACCGCGTCATTTGGGACACATCCCTGAGGCAGTAAAGGCTGAATTAAGTGACATCCATTATTTTGGATGTTTTGCCATACCTGTAATACCAGAAATCTAATTTTCAAGCACTGCAGCAGGCTTATGCCCCAAGCTCCTTAAAAGCAGTAGCTAACCACCCATATGTGTAAGGGCTGCAGAATGACACATCACTCCTTCACTGAACATTCCTCCTTTCCCCTCAAACTCGTTGCCAAAAAAGCAAAAGCAAAACTCCCGTGCTTTACTTAATTTGCTCCTCTGCTTAGCAGCTTCTCCAGTTCACTCCTCTTGGACTAATTATTTCCAATGTTAAGGCAAAGGCCGTGCAACGATTTTAACTGCATCATCTTTGGACAAAGCCTACATGACTTAGACCCTCTGGTCTAGAGCAAAAAAAAACAGAGCATCTCGTTTTGGTTCCAAAAACCAGGCAGAAAACATCAATGAGTCCAAAGTCACTTTTGTCCAGTTTCATCCAATATTTGGCTTTTTCCAAACCTCTGCTCTTCAAACAGTCGATTTATGCACTTCTGCACCATCCAAGCAAGGTGGCTTTGGATGTTCCAACAGCTGAAGACAACCCAGGTTGGGGAGCAGAGCTCCTCTTACTGCCATGGTTGTTATAAAGCAAATTATTTTGGTGTTCTTGGGTTGTTACCACAAAATAAAGATTTCAGGAATGGATTTACAGCAACAAAATGTGTAATTCACGTCACTTATGAAATTGGGTCACCTAATGCAGGCAATCCTCACACAGTTGTGCTCTTTGCTGTTGGTGGTTGAGCAGATGTCAAATTACAGAGCCATGCTATTCATATCAATGCAAACCTCATCCAAACAACCATTTGTGAAATCAATTTTAAAAGCAGGCCAGAAAAAACTCAGGGCATTTACATTTGCAAGAAAAACTGCCAGATCCAAACATGATGGATTTTAATCCAAAAATACACATCTTCAAACAAGTATGTTGGAGAGCTGATGCACAACTCTGCTCAAACAGGCTGTAGGATTTGCTTTCAGCCCAAAGCAAACAAAAAAAAGCAGAGCTGCTATATGTGCTAGCACTGTGCGCATTTGATCCTGCATGGAAATCCATGCTATCCCAAGCTCTCTTCCAGGGCAAATGATCCCACTGGTAGCGACATCTCATACAAGTTTTCACAGCCTCAGCAGGACTCCAGTTCTTCTTTCCATCTTCACTGGATAACTTACACCTCCAAGCTAAGCTGATCCTTGCCAACAGTAAGTCAGGCAGGAGATGAGTGTCAGCAGTGCCTCTGAACTGCAGGTCATCTTTGTCATTGCCACCTCGTATCAGGGCGGCACTGGGAAGGCTCAGGAGAACACTCAGCAGAATTGGATGCCTGGCATCTGGCTGTTCTAATTAAATTAATTAAGGAAGAAATGTCAAAGGAAGGTATGGGACACTGACAGATTCTGTGCTACAGATTAGATATATGTTTAGTATTTTAATATCACAGCCACCAGGTCCCAGTGTACAATAAATATCATTCTGGCAGAAAAATCACACTTGTCTGCAGCTGTATGACATAGGCACGCAGACCAGAGGCTGAGAACTCAGTTTTAGAAAGAGCTCTGCTTGCCTGGCACTACCTTCAGTTCTGCACATTAAGGACCAAGCCTTTTAAGTCTTAAAGGAATCCTTTAAGAGTTAAGAGTACTGAAATCCCAGTACTCTCACCACTCACTCACTTTTGAGGACAAAAAATTGGTGTCAGTTAAAAGCTTAAAATAAAGCTAAACGTGGTAACCCCTCATTTCAGTGCTCACGAGGATGAGTACTGTGCTCTCAAGGAATGCATTAATCAAAGCCATTTCACGATGCATACAGGGACTTCAAAGACAACTGGCTCTGGGTGAACCACGAGAGCACAGCAATGACTGAAGGGAGCTGACACACTTACACTGCTCTGCTCCAGCACACACTGCTCATCAGAGTCAGAAAAAGCTGGAAGCAAGCAACTTCTGGCTAAGAAGTTTCAAGAACCACTCGCTGTCCTCACTCAGCACAAGTGTTTCACTCACACAGATGAGCTCATGCTGGTGTTCTAAGCAAAATTCCAAATATTCCCGTCTGCCACTAACTCCAGATCTCTTCAGGTGAGCATATGATCCCTCCTGTCAGCCACCATTTCTTGCTCAAGGGTATAACTGCCCCATTTAGCTGTTCCCCCAGTTGTGGATGGAGGTGCTGCTGTAAGAAGCCTTTCTTTCTAGCAACAAAAGCAATGCCAAGTTAACTCACCAGGCTTTGGCAATAACACACTGGAGAACCAAAATCACTTGCCAGTGTCACCAAAGTTACAGCCCCTAAGTTCTTTACCAGCTTTATTTGACTACTTGCCATTTTCTGAATGGCAAAATTTGAGCCTGAGACACAACACATTTGAACATCACTGCTTTCTTTCTTTTTTTTATTAGGCCTGGCAGGAATATTCCTCTTCTCCCAGTTTCTTGGTAGGAAAAAAGGCTCCTTATTACCTTGTTCAAATACAAACTCACAGAACTCAAGTAGGCTTGAAAAGTCGGTGTCAAATGCTTCATAGCCCAACTTGCCCACGGTATTTAGCTCTGCCAGAGAAGCAGCACTGGGCTGCATAAAGGCCCCACAGTATTCAGAAATATTACATAATGATCAGCCAGGGAGGAACCAAGCTCAACTCTCCAAACACAGAGCTGATAAAGTACATAGGAGATGGTGAAAGAGAAGTTCTGGGGAACCACAGAGGTCTCCAACCTAACCATGGCAATATTTCTCTTGTAAGCCAGCTTGGTAGATTAGATCTCTGCTACTCCTCACTCTCTTTCCCTGGAAGCACGAGGAGCTGAAGGACAAAGAAAGCAACTTCACTGCTTCACCACTGCCATAAAGCACATCCCACATCCTTCTCCTCACCTGGGAAATGCAGCAGTAGGATCTCCTTACCCCTGTCTGAAAAACACTTCCTCCTCTTGCAGAGCGGATCGACACCTTGTGCGTTTCACAACCTCACCCTCTGAGCATGCAGTGCACTTAACATTACACTTCCACCTATCTGTCACCTCACCCAACAACTACAAGTGCCTGTCCTTCTGCTGAAGATCCCCATAGCAGAAAGCCCCTGAGGTTCCACCAGCACTGCCACTGCTGCACAGAACTACGACCAGTGAACAGTGCGACAGCTTCCAATCCTGCAGGCACTTATCTAATTAATTGCATTAATGTCTGATATTCTCAACTTTCAGCTGTGGTGCACTTGATCTTCTGGAGTGTCAGGACATGCTACTCAGCAACCATAATTTGTGTTTGACCTATTTTTTGATGCTGAATTCTATTTAATTTTCACTGATAAGGGCTGGATTATAATTACTTCCAAGTCCAGTATCTTGGATTTGGCTTGCTTTCTCTCCAATTGTAAAAGCACTATTCTTCTCACCTTCCAGATTAAATTCTCTTGACTATCAGTCAAAAGAGTACCTGTTTCCCTCTTGAATTCCCACTTCTCATAAGACTTTCCCTTTGCTTTTGCCATTGAAAGCATTTGCTATTGAAGATAGCATGGAATGCAATAAACATAGAGAAAATGAGGATGACAAAGCAAGATAGCATTCCAAAGATATCTTCAATCCTAAATTATCAGAATAGCAGAGAAATCACTCAGGAAGCCTGAAAATAATTTGATGCTACTTCCACAGAATCTTTACTCAAACAGCAGCAGAATGGATTCATTAACAGAAGTAGCTTTTAACTCCAAAAGCATTTGGAATCATTCATTCACTAGATACATTTATTTGCAATGATTTACAAGCATACGAGCACCAAGCAGTGTGTCTTGAAATTCCAGTTTGTCCAATTTATTTCCAACTGCCTTGACTCAGCTTTCAGCATCTGACAGCACCAGATCGCATATACCCAACCCGTATGGTTGGATGTGTTATGCCTATAGTTCGCTGCCACTATAAGTACAGCTGCAATAGCAAAGAGCTCAGCAGTGCTCTGGAGACACTTACTCTCAAGCTGTGTAATGAACAAGCTCATACACACAAAGCACTAAGAGCTGCAAGGGTGTTCCTTGAAAACCTTAGCATGGTTTTACCTTCCAAGAAAAGAGTAAAGAATCATACTTACAAAGTACACCGCTCCAAAGCTTCCATGTCCGATTTCATGTAAACCCACAAATATCTCCTCAGGATCATCTTTGTAGAACAGCTCAGCTATTTCTGGGTCCTTTGGCACCCCTTTGCGCATGTTGAACAGGATTAGGAACTAGTTGGCGCCTTCAGTTCCCAATCAGTTTCTTCCTTCATCGACAAAGTCGTTTGTAGGCAGCATTCAGCACCTGGTAAAAAAAGTTCATCTTCGAATCTCTTTCCTTTACACGTGTTTCTATGACAGCAAAACAAGAGGAAGCACTTTCAGGAGCAACAGACTTCACTATCGTTTCCTTCAGCAAATTCTTTTTAATTATGAGGCCAATTTAGATGGAGAGATTAAAATGCAGTCAAGAGTACAGCAGCTCTATCTCATACAGGAAGCAAGTGCTACAATTACACTAAAGTCCACTTGAAGACAAAAGTCCTGTTGCCACGCACAACATCCTGTGACACAAGTCGCTCATTCTTCATGCTGCTCTCCTAATCTGTCACTTTTCAGACTATCACTATTGTTCCTCCTGCTTTTCTCTGCTGGTTGTTTGCTTTGTTTCTCTACTCCCACTTGCCAGCTGGTGCTAAAAGAACAGTTAGCTTCTATTCCACAGAAACACTTCACAATCATGTGAGTGTGGGGTTTTGTTTTGTGTTAAATATATATTATTTTAAGTTTTCAGTGCTCTAAGACAGCCAGTACTGTTGGTTTTTGTAACTCTGTGAGTGCCAGAACTTCCATCACAGATCTGCTTTTGAAAGCTCCCAGACTCCATCCTGCAAGGCAAGTATTGGCTCCTTCAACACCTTCTTTAGCACAAGCATGTAATTAAAATCATGGAACTGGGCTGCACTTAAATGAAGATTTTCAATATTAAACCTGCAAAAAGCAAAACACTACAAAAAGCCACGCTTATCATAAAAACACCCTGGAAAATCTGCACTGGTTCCTCACCACTGGTGTGCAGAGGAATGATGGATGCCTCAGCTTTGGCCTTCTGAAGTCCAGCAGATTAACTGCAGCAGTTCCTAACAGCAGTCTGGAGCAAATCTCAAAACCCTACTTCTCAATATGTAGTTCAGTACCTGGCTTATTGATACCACATCCTCTCGGTGCATCAACAAAAATGCATATGAAAATAAACACTGAAGTGCTCTGCCTTCTTTACATCATAAATCAGTATAATATTTAAGAAAGACTAGCTGAAATACAGCAATCAGATTAAATTGAAGTATATGTTAAAGGCTCTGAAAGATTTCAAACTGCAAACACCACCCAGACAGAGCGAGGATGAAAGCAGAGCATAATTTTGGTGTGAGGCTGAGCCATCCCCCTTGGCTCAGGATGACAAGTAATGGAGCAACAAGCACAGCCAATGTGGCTCATGAGAGGTGCTCAGAACACTCTGCTGAAGCATACCTGGGTAACTGTGGCACAAAGCATGCTCTGTGGCTCAGATTCCTTTCAGCAGCATTGTTGTGTGCTCCTGTCTCCCCAGATTCTGTGCACTGCCAATATTCTGCAAAGAAAAGCAAACATCAGCACTTAGAATGAAGTGTTTAAATCCAGTGCCTCGTTCTAATACATGAAAACACGACATCTAGGAAAGTCCATCCACTATGAAGGGATCATTTGAAAGTGCAGCAAAGGGAGACACTACCACCCATAAATACAACCATCCCTCTTCAGGTGATTCAGGTGAAGAGGCTCTATTCTTGTGCTCTGCAATATTTAGCATGTTTGTACATCAAAGGGCAGGACGTAGGAAATTAAATTCTTTGATTTTTGTAAAGGTTCTCAAGCTTGTTTGGAAGTCTGTTCTCAGAGCACATTTTTCAGGTGGCCTTCAAGAAGGACAGAACTCATAAGGCTGAGGCTGGCACAGAATGCAGTGTGCCACACCTGACAACACACAACGCTTTGAAGTCCTAGACATTGATATATCAGGCACCACTGGATTCCACCAGCAAGAGAATGAGAAAGGCCAAACAATAAAATAAAATAAAAAGAGGGCAACCCAGCCAGAGCCAGCACTTCCTATCAGGCGCAGACCACTCATGGCAGAGGACACAACCAAGTGCAACAACACCCAACCAACCATCCTCTGGGTCAGGTCAAACACTCGTCCTCAGATCCCTACAGCCTCATCACGATATGTGAAGTAATACTTACCTGAATTAGTGATAAGAAACTAATGCATCTTCTTGCTTATTAGGAAACAACATCTGCACAGGAGACCTCCTGCTTGTCACTACATTCCCAAACCCACCACTTCTGCCTACTGCTCTCAGTGACACTGCACTGCTACTGAGCTGTTGTAAAGTAACTCGAGGAGCTTCAGAAAAAGGATCTGTAATGTTTCAGCTTGTCAGTGATATCTTCCTTTGAATTCCTGTTATCCACCAGGGATAAACTTATGACAGAAGGCAGATGAATGAAATGATTATTCATCCCCAGCTGATTGGCCTCACCCAGAGGTGCTATATTTACCACATACCTGCACACATGGGCAAAGAATGCAGTATTTCAGGTCTGGCACTCTCCAGCCAAGTGAAAAATCCATTTGGCTTTAGAATAACAGAAAACAAACCCAGGAAGAAAAGCATTTATCCATCTCTAGTCAAAGGAATAGCACCATAAACAAAACAGTGCAGCTCTAATACTCAAAAGTAAATGGGGATTTAAAATGTCTTGACTAAAGCATAGAATCACTGAGGCTGGGAAAGACCTCTAAGATCACCAAGCTCAACCCCAACCCATCCTCATTATGCCAACACCTAAAGCTAAGCTCTAGGTCAGAATGCCATTCTAACTGGGACACATGTGCACGGTGAGGCTGTGTGATGTGCAAACCTTCTTAGCAGGACTATCAATTTCCAGTAATGGCCATCAGCAAAGCCTGGGATGCAAAGCGCTGCCAAGAGCAAACTGAGCGCTGGGGATTGGCACAGCACCACAGCATGGCACAAAGTAGGGTCAGGAAAGATCCAAATCACAGGCTGGGTGGTAAGCTGGCAAAGCTGCAAATCCTTCATATTAAAACTCCCTTCTAGACATGGAAAGATTAAAGGAAAGACAGTTTAAATAGTGCCTGGCTTAATTCTTCAGGGCATTAAGGCAGCTGAATGCCATCAACAGAAATTACTCAAGTTCAAGGTTTCGTCCATATAAGCTTGTTGTTTCGGTTGCTGAGCTACTTATTTAATGCATCAAGAAACAATTTCTATTGTAAGCCTGATTCCTACTTCTCATCCTTCCAAAGGCACATGGGAATCTGCCTTTGAGACTGCATGTTCCAAAGCCTTCAAATGAAAATAGCATTAGTCATATGGGCGATGACTTATGGATGTGACAGGTGACTCAAGACTTTCTGAGAGTGTGTGAGCAGCACTGGGGTCAGACGAGGCCGCCTGGCAATGCCTCCAACTGCCTACCTTCAAATTGCAGCTCTCAGTCACCAGCTGGTGGAATGCTCAGCCTTTGGGGACACACTGCTCATGCTCTGTTTCTGGAATGCTGTTCTGGGCTGGAGAAGCAGGAGGAACTGGAGAGTAAATGCAGCATTAGGGATGACACTAAGATATGTGAAGATCACAGAACCATAGAATGGCCTGGGTTGAAAAGGACCACAGTGATCATCGAGTTTCAAACCCCCTGCTGTGTGCAGGGTCACCAACCAGCAGCCCAGGCTGCCCAGAGCCACATCCAGCCTGGCCTTGAATGCCTGCAAGGATGGGGCATCCACAGCCTCCTTGTGCAACCTGTTCCTCTAAGAAAAGACTACCTAATGAAATGACTGCTATGCTGATAGCAACTGGGTTAAATTCTTGATTGGGGAACAGGAGAAAAATCAGGAAGTTACATCCTATGTCACACAATGTGCCACTTGGACAATGCTTCTGTGACATTCATGCACTCAGCCATAGAACACTGATTTGCTTGAACCTCAGCCAACCACACCAATACTCCTAAAGGTCTGCTGACGTGCAAGTTGGGCAGAGATTCATTCATTAGTGCCCCAAATCTGAGCAGTTTCCTGAGCTCAGTCAAATCAGCGGAGAACAAAGGGAAATAGCATCAAGATACTGGAGTTTTTCAGGATTTAAAGAGCATCCAAGAATAACAATTTATTATTATCATTTAACTAACATAGAATAACCTGCAAACAATGGGTTTTTGGCACCTTTTTATGCACACCAATACTGTGATCATTCCAGATCTGTTATAGATGTGATATGCTTACATGCAAGCTTGAGTGAAGCAGTGCTCTGAGCATCTCCAGCAGTTAGCTGGGCACAGGGAAGCCCTCAGATGGCCCCATGTCTCTCTGGACATCCCTGGTGGCCCTCAGATGTCCATGCAAACACTTGGGTGCCCCCAGAGCTCCTCAGACCTGCCTGTGGCTCATTACGTTCTTGTGTCTCTTTGGACACCCCTGTGTTCCCATGTCTAATGGAATGCCCCTGGAGCCTCTCAGATGTTCCAATGTCCTAGGACATCCAGTGGCCCTTAGGACAGCCTTGTGTCTCCTTGAATATCCCCAGAGCCTCTCTGACGTCCCTCCCCAGTGCGGCACTGCAGGACATGGTTCACTGGTCATGATTCTATGACTGTCCCATGACCACTTCAGCAGTTCAGCCTGGACCACTTTGCCTCCCCGTCCCCCAAATCCACCCTCAGGAGCACAGCCCAGCCAAAGCAGAGCCCCCCTCAAAGCACTACTGCAACACACTTCTTTTTTTCAATGGTTTTGAAAAGCAAAGTGTCCTCAAACACAGGCAGCCCTTCCACGTCAAACGCATGCGTTACTGCTTTTGGTTTTCATGCAGATTTGCACAAAGATTCCCTGCCTCTACCAGTTATGACCTCCAAGTGCTCAATGAATAACAGGTTACTGTTGTGTGCCCATATTCTGTAACCACCACCATGCACTGCTAGGACATTTCTTTATCAAAATTACTGAAGCCCCTTGACCAACCTGTGACCTGCCCAGCGCAGTTCCAACACCCCAACACCTCCCCTTTCTTCAATGCAGTCTCTCCAAAAATCTGGAGGATGGAACTAAGAAAGGAATTCTCAGACAAGCTCAAAGGCTGCTGGTAAAACCTGTCCCAAAGCAGAGACCTGCCTCAGAGCAAGCACACATTCAAGTTCCATTGCAGCACTCACACACAGACACCAAGAACATATATTTTTTGAAGTATGAGCCCCTTTTTTCCCTTTAATTGCTATTTCTGGCTAGCACGGCCACGCTCAAACACCTCACCCAATGCTTCTGCAATGTATTAAACTTACTTACTTACTTACTTCACTTACGCACAGACAACGACGGATGTTGAGCCCTCAGTGCTGTGGAAACAGGTGCCTGGGTTTGCCTGCAGCAGTGGGAATCTGCATCAGACAACAACAACCAGCACAACTACAGTCACACTCACAGACTGAAGGGAACAGGGGATGGAACTAACAGAGGTTCCAGGCTTTAAGTTGGTGGCAAAAATTCCAACTGAAGCCCCCCACTCAAAGCCTTCCACTCATGTAGCTTCTCCTAAGGGAAGGAGGAACAGCATCGAGGCTTCTTTATGGTGCAGGAAAGTGAAACAACTTTTAACCTACGCAGATCCTGACGCATAGCTGTGATAAGGAGCCCCAGCTGTCGTCATGCTATAAAAGGAAAAAGTTTTCTGATTCCATTTAGAGAAGGTGATTCAGTCACACTGCACGCGCTGGCAGAGCTGTACCACCTTCACGTTACTGAAGTCCTCAGTTATTTCAAGTGCAGCCTAATAACTGTGAGAAAAAAAACCCTCTTGAAAGCTGTATTTTAAGCTCTTCAGTGTCATTTCTTTGATTGCTAAGAATGCTTCACTTTTACAGCCTCTATTATGCAAACGAAAGCAACACATGCTGATTCTAGTTTATTAGTATTTAGCTTATTTTAATGTGTAAAGCACTACGGCACAGATCTGGTATGCGAGCTGGTTATTTAAAGTTTTCTCACAGTGTACACAAAAAGCAGCTGTACTACAGCTTTTGTTTGCTTAAATTAATCACCGATTCCATGCTTGTCAGAGAAGGTTTCGCTCTGGAGAGAAGCAGCCAATCCTCTGCTGTGTCCAGTCTGCAAGTGATTCTGTGCTACCTGCAAGGAGACTGGGGCCAGAACTGCAACATCAGCAATGCCCAGCCATGCTCAGCAGCAGACCCTCAAACGCTGCTCCTCTTTCCAAAAGGTTCAGGTCCTGGAAAGAAACACAAGAGCTTCCCTCTGCCAACCATCCACTTCGAATGGCATGCTGGCACATCCAGACGTGGATTCAGCAACCTCCAGTGCTGACATGTGGATCATTCCAGTTAACTCACGCTAACAGAGATTACTCACACTAATAAAAAATGATTCAGTACCTTACTGACAATGGCAATCACTGTGGGCAGTGGCCCCGGGGTATGAAATTAAATGAGTAAATTGCAAGTCCCACTGTAAATATGTACCTTTAATGAACTTTTTTTTCCTCTGGTTAAGCTGTTTTAGAGGAAACCTAGCTCCATTTGTAACATCTCTAATACTAGCATTTACATACTAAGAAAAAGGCTTCTCGCTCCCAACATCAAAATTTCATCACGTATGGATCATGAAACTAAGGAAGCTGCCTCCTTGTATTCATCAGACTTCCAGCAGCATTTTATCAGCCTCTCTATCACATCACTGACAAGCCAGGCAGCTCAGACAGTCACAAATTCATGGCTGCTATGCTGTGCGCTCCTGAGAGGCACAAATAAGTCATCACATTTGTTTATGAAAGCACACTCAGAGTTTCCTACCTATTAATGTCACGGCTTCCAAAACTGCATCCATTTTGTGGCTGACAGCTATTTTAGGTATTTTAAAGAAGTTTATGTTCTGGCCATCAGAGAAGGCAGCGCTGGGCAGATCCGTCCCCACCCACGTGCCATCAGCTCTGCCAACTGCTCCCAGCACCACGGGCATCCTGCTGCCTGCTCCCAGCTCCATCTCTCTGCAGCCTGGCACGGGGCTAAAACTTCCACCCACTCTAACGCTGCTCATCACCACCCTGGCTTAGGGGGCACGTCGGGACCTGAGGAGAGCAGCTTGGTTCAGCTCAGTGAGGTTAACGTGCAGTTATTCTATGGAACAGTGACTTTACGCTGCCTGGAATCCTAGAATGGCCTGGGTTGAAAAGGACCACAGTGCTCATCCAGCTCCAACCCCCTGCTGTGTGCAGGTCGCCAACCAGCAGACCATAGAATCATAGAATCATAGAATCACTAAGGTTGGAAAAGACCTTCAAGATCACCCAGTCCAACCGTTCACCTATTCCCAGTAGCTCCCACTAAACCATGTCCCTCAACACAACATCCAGTCTTTCCTTGAACACCCCCAGGCTCGGTGACTCCACCACCTCCCTGGGCATCCATTCCAGTGCCTGACCACCCTTTCTGAAAAGTAATACTTCCTCATGTCCAGCCTGAATCTCCTCTGCCGTAGCTTGAAGCCATTCCCCCTGGTCCTATCACTAATGACACGAGAGAAGAGGCCGACCCCCAGCTCACTACAACCTCCCTTCAGGAAGTTATAGAGAGCAATAAGGTCTCCCCTGAGCCTCCTCTTCTCCAGGCTGAACATTCCCAGCTCCTTCAGCCTCTCCTCATCAGCCCTGTGTTCCAGACCCCTCACCAGCTTTGTTGCCCTCCTTTGAACACGTTCCAGGGCCTCAATATCTTTCTTGCAGTGAGGGGCCCAAAACTGGACACAGTACTCGAGGTGCGGCCTCACGAGTGCTGAATATAGGGGAACAATCACCTCTCTGCTCCTGCTTGCAACACTGTTTCTGATGCAAGCCAGGATGCCATTGGCCTTCTTGGCCACCTGGGCACGCTGTCGGCTCATGTTCAGCCGAGCATCAATCAATACCCCCAGGTCCATTTCCTCTAGGCAGTCCTCCAGCCACACCGCCCCAAGCCTGTAGCGTCGCCTGGGGTTGTTGTGGCCGAAGTGCAGGACCCGGCATTTGGCCTTGTTGAAACTCATCCCATTGGCTCCAGCCCAGCTCTCCAGCCTGTCCAGATCCCTCTGTAGGGCCTCGCTACCCCCAGGCAGATCCACACTTCCAGCCAATTTGGTGTCATCTGCAAATTTACTGAGGGTGCACTCGATGCCCTCATCGAGGTCATCAATAAAGATGTTGAAGAGGACAGGCCCCAGCACCGACCCCTGGGGAACACCACTCACGACCGGTCGCCAGCTGGATTTAACTCCATGGCTGACCAGGCTGCCCAGAGCCACATCCAGCCTGGCCTTGAATGCCTGCAGGGATGGGGCATCCACAGCCTCCATGGGCAACCTGTGCCAGTGGAGAAGGGGTGCAGGAGGTCCCATTGGCAGCCCTCAGCCCATTTCCATGGGGCTCCCGGTCCCACGAATCCCTCCCTGCCCCACACTTCTCCTTTCACAGCCCCTTCCTTCCTGCTCCCTCCATGCCAGCCAGTGATAGTACTTCAGGAAACAGCCTGACTGCCTCAGCTCAT